ATCCACTAACAAATTTGGAAGGTGGGCTTTTGCCAAACTGTATATATTGTGAACACTTTAATTACTAAGTACAAAATTTTTTAAAGTGAAAATAACGAGACTTTTTGGGAGGTGGGAGACTGGAATGATAAGGAAGAAGAAGAAATAATTTTTCCACTTTTAAAAGGTAAATGACAAAAGTCCAAGATTGATCTAAATTATTTTTCAAATGGCTTCAAAGGCATATCATTTTCTCAGTATAGATGAACTTGATATTCTCTAGGGCATTCTGAATCCACAGTCTTGATAGGTCTAAGTGCTTTCATCAACACTTTTTGTCAGGAAGATAGACTTTTTAATTAATTGATTAACTTACTTACGAGACAGGGTCTCGCTCTGTTGCCCAGGCTGGAGTGCAGCGGCCTGATCATAGTTCAGTGTAACCTCGAATTCTGGGCTCAAGCAATCCTCCCACCTCAGCGTCCTGAGTACCTGGGACTGCAGGTATACACCACCATGCCCAGCCAATTTTTAAAATTTTTTGTAGGGACAGGGTCTTGCTGTGTTGTCCAGACTGGTCTCAAACTCCTGGCCTCAAGTAATCCTTCTACCTTGGCCTCTCAAAGTGCTGGAATTGCATGTATGAGCCACTGCATCCAGCCTATTTTGTATTTTTAAGTGTATATTAAATTCCAAACCTTTAAAGAATGGGAATCCACGTATATGACAACATAAATATGAGTTAGCTAGGCTGTTAAGTTAATCAAAATAATACCACTTTTATTTTTTAATAAGGTACACATCAAAGCAAAGACAAAGAGAATGGTGCTCAAAGGGACTGGGAGCTGTCTTCACCGTAGGCCTCTTTGGCTCCAGAAATATTACTGTCAGTTTTTCTAGCTTAACTCCAAACAAGCTAATTTGCTGGACTTAGCAGATTTTTGTCAGATACTTCTTTCTATATTAGGTGCCAGTTACCAACTTGAGAATATAGTCAGCAATTTTATCTTTTAATTTTAAGGGAGGAGGAGGTGATGAAGAATTAAGCTATTTATTTCTTTGGTTTGTCTTCCTTCTCTTTGAAAATCAGCCTAGTATGAGATGCAAATAAGAAAATAATTGGCTATACAATTCAGATAGTTTTATTAGTATATGGCTAGTAATGTACTTCAAATGACAGATAATCATTAT